TCGCGCCGGGTCATAGTGTCGTAACACTGGAGCTGTAAGGAGTCGATGTTTCAACTGCTAAAAGGCTGTTTCACATTGCTCAGTCCATAGAAAGGGGACATCATGCCGAGTCAGGTAGTGAAGGGGCTTAGCAAGCCTGCTATACCCTTGAATGAATCGTCTATAGAAGTTACAGAATCCTAAAAATGACTGAATGCCCTTTACCGTAGTTAGGACTTTCCATTCTTGAACCACTCTGATCTTCTCTGGGTCTACTGAGATGCCGTCGGTGCTCACAATAAACCCGAGAAACTTGGTTTGCTAGACCGAGAATTCACACTTCTTTAATGCCACCTGTAGCCCTGCTTCCTAGAGTCGTTTCAGGACTTCTCGGACATGACGATGATACTCTTTAATTGTGTTGCTGTAGACAAGAATATCATCCACAAATGCTACCGCATATTCGTCCATACATTCGCGTAGAATGTCATTTATGAACCTTTGGAACGTTGCAGGTCCGTTGGTCAATCCAAAGGGGACCACTCTATATTTGAAGGATCCATATCGAGTTCGGAAAGTGGTAAGATCCTCGGCTTTAGGTGTTAGACGAATCCGGTAGAAGCCTTGCTAGATGTCCAGTTTAGTGAAGAATTTCGCCTTGCTTGTCCGTTGTAACACCTCGTCAATCAATAGGAGCGGGTAACAGTCTTTCTTTGTGAGTGAGTTCAATTTCCGGTAGTCCACACAGAAGCGTAGTCCACCACCGGGTTTCTTAACCATCAAGATTAGTGATGCAAATGGTGCTGAACTTGGCACAATGAATCCTTTGTCGAGATTTGCCATAATATATTTCTTTGCTTCTTGCAATTCGTCAAGTGAAAGCTTGTATAATGGACAGTACCCTGGCTGTGCCTCCGCTTTAAGTATGATATCATGATCAACACCCTTTCGGTGCGGAGGTAGTTTATCTGACTTTCTTTTTAAGAAAACTTCTGCTAGGTCCTGATACTCTGTCGGCAGTGTCGCTCGGATCTCATCTATCTCTAGATCTGATAATGCTAATGATGATTTGATATCGAGGATGTGATCGATTTCGGTAAGCGAAGTGGAAAATACTTCAGTGCGTTTATCAGAAAGTGATCTTGCCTATAGTCTCTGATATGCTATAGGACCGATGATACTAATATTTAGTGGACAGTTGAACTCAGATATATTCAGTAGTAATGGGTCGTCATTCCTCAGATTTCTCTGCATTTTCTCGAGGTTTGCTCTCTGCCATTAGTGATCTTGATGCTTCCGTGGTGAAAGGTCAATGCTTTGTTTAAGTAGCTTGTCTCGTCGGTCTGCATCTGCTTGATACGTACTAGCGGTGCTTGTTGGAATAGGCTTCTTGAGTATCGTGATCGGAGTGGGAAGGGAAACCTGGTTGCATACTTCTTCAAACAAGGTTGGTTCATGTGGCCAAATCATTCGACGACGGCGACAGTCGAGTAAAACGTTATGTTGCGCTAGCCATATTCGTCCAAGTATCAAGTCGTGTTTTCCAAGATCTGCTACTAGCATAGGTACCTGCTAGTGGACATGCCCTTCAATGCACATTGAAAGAATAACTGCATGAGTGATAGGTCTAGCTGGCTTACCATCAAATCCATTCACTGGGCACTGCCTTTCTAACCTCTGAACTCGTAGACCTTGCTGTTAGCATAGCAAAGCTACTAAAGCTGTGTCGATGAAAATTGAACCATCTACTCCGGTATCATATAGTGCTGAAATAGAAAAGGAACGTCTATTGATCATGAGCTCTGTGTTAAACACTAAACTATCATATGGACTTCTAAGTAACTTCTGTAAATTCAACGAATAAAGTGACACCTTTTTTCCGCCTAGGAGGGAGACTTCGCCTAGGCAGGTGCTTTTCCCGAATCCTGATTTTCAAATTCTTCCAGTTCGATGCGAGGAGAGGGGTTGCGAGCAGGAACTTGAGTAATTGCTGCAGTGGTTGCTGGACCTGTCTTTTTGGGACAATCACGAGTCATATGGCCTTGCTCCTTACAGTTGAAACAACGTCCTTCTCTCATCAGTGTTTGTCTTTTAGTAAATAGCAACGGAGTGAATCCTGAGTTTTCTTTCTTGATTCGAGTCGTGGAGGTTGAACCTGTCGACGAGGAAGTGATATTGTTTCCGGAACTGGAAATTCGTGCTCGGTTACCAGATCGTGATTCTTGCTGAACGTTGATGTCGTAGGACAGACTGATACAGATCTAGACAAATTCATCGAAAGATACTGTGTTCTGATTCTTCTGGAGCATCACCTAGGTTTGTAGCAAGTATGGAAGCATAAGATAAAGATCTTGCTTGCGGTTTTCGATTGGAATACATGCTTCTTCGGCAAGCTGCATAAAGCTAGCCAGAAAATCGGTAAAGTTCTCCTTTGGCTTCATTTTCAATTTGTGGAACTGAGTGTATGCCTCGGCCTTCCTGTTTAGGTTGGCAAACACTGTTTTCAGGTGTATGAGAATATCTTCTGCATCGGTGTAGTGAGTAGCTGATTCAGGATCCATTCTTGGTGCGATATGTAACTGTGCCTTTCCTTCGCAACGGCTTTGGACATATATCATTCGGTGGATCGGATCGGGGTAATGATCTGCATTAGCAAGCAGCTTCTGTCGGATCACTGTTTGCCAGGTTTCGAAGCGAACTTCCTTGCCATCACTTAGCATAGGAGCATCAGGCATCTTGGTCGTTTTCTAAACACGAGGGATTGTAGCTACAGCCTCCACAATCGATGCGCTGCGCTGGTGGTTTCCTGATTGTAGCAGCTGGTATGCCATCTCATTTCTAGCATCCACTGCCGTCTTTTCTTTCTCCTTTGCGATCATCAGGTGAGCAATCGCTTCCTCACGTTCTTCATCAGCTCGCTCTCGGAGCATGACGCTTTCTTCAAGTTCTTTGCTAATAGCATTCTTCCTGATTTCTAGCTCGTTAAATTTGACTTCAAGCTCTTTGTACTTCTTGACCATTATTTCGAAGCGCTGTCGTGCATCCTGCCGAGCGAGAGTGTCGCGTACCGCTGGTGAGTTTAGATGCGAATGAACTAGACTAGCACCGGTGCTTTGGCTTCGTCCTCGTATTGGTGACGAAGGGTCGGAGGGAGGGAGTTCAATCGAAGTCGGATCATGTGTGGTCGTTTCTTCTTGATCATCGCTGTCAGCGAGTCTCGTTTGCTGGCTCCGAGTCATGCGGGGAGTCTTCTTCTTCGAATCAGCCATTCTTGCTGCTGATTGGTCGGTTCTGTCGATCTTTCGGTTCGGTTCGGAGGTCTTGGCTCTACGATGCCAAGGAACGCGAAGTGGGGCTGAGCAGGGCTGAAACCAATCACAATGATGGTTTGTACAGTCGTGCTGCTCAGTAAAGTGTTTTGGTGATGTTTAGTATTATGTTACGAGCCAAGTCTTGATGAAAAAGAGTGCATTCAACTAGAATACTAAACATGGGGAAAGAAAGAAAGAAGAAAGAAAGAACAACACGCTGAAACAATTAAGGTAGTGATGCCTGAGGCCTCCAATCAAACAATGTAAAACACGAACTACGAAAGGCGGTGGAACACGGCAGAATCGGTTCAGGATCATTGATCCTGAATTCTTCGTGACACGATATAGAACTTACGGAATGGAGCCAAGCACTAAGCGACAAACTATTTTACCAAATCAATTGTGGTTAAAGAGAGGAATTGTTAATGCGAAGGAATCCGAGTTCAATAGAAGAGATAACGATGTGAAGCAGGATACTAGGGGAGAAGCAAGCCCGCCGAAGAAGCCCGTCGAGAAAAACCATTTACACCGAATAGGTGTTCCTATCAAACCAAGCGAAAAGAGTGTATCTCATGCCCTTTCTAAGCAAAGCCCACTCGACAAGTTTCACAAATCATACAACATTGACTAGGCTAGAACAGGAATAATAGCCTTAAAAGACACTAAGAACCTCCCTATATGTCTGATAAAGTGCCGTGACGCTAGAAAGATGCGATCTATTCGAGGACTGCAATTTGCTAGTCACAGAAACATTCTATCCTTGATTGATCACTTCCAATCTAGGGATAAACTTCATTTGGTCTACGAGTATGAGCATTTGGCGATCAGTCTTGGTTGTGTTGCGGGAAATGTTCAATTCAGCGACGCAGACATAGCGACAGTTTGCAAAGAGATCTTAGAAGGGCTTAAATTTATTCACTCGGCCTTAAAGACTTCATATGGCTTGCTAGATTTCAGCAATGTCCTTCTTACTTGGTAAGGCGAAGTCAAGCTTGGTATGTCTCGAGCTTTTAATTTGAACTTCACTAATTCACAAGAAGCAAATATCGGAGAATACTTGTTGAAAAAAGATTCCGCCGACACGATACAGAAAGATATCTAAGACGTTGGGTCAATTGTAGTGTTCCTAAGCGACCGGACCGCCGCAGTCCTCGAGTTAAGCGATAATCTAAATACGTCACATCTTTCACGGCTAGCCTATTTATTTATGCAAAAAAGTAAGGAAGATATAACCGCGGAAAGCATGGCAAAAGTAAGTATCTCTTGCATCCTTGATTCTCTATGGCATCCCTGATATAGTGAAAAGGACGAGTTTCTACATCTTGCCAACCCTAGGGGGGCGTGGAGTTTAAAGCGGCACTATTTCAAAACCTTACCTCTAGGCATCCGTATCGGAAGTCAAGCTAATGACGACGATAATTGAGTCTCTGTAATACCCGTAGACAATAATCACAAACCATGATCAACAGATTCTAAGTAGGCACCGTATGATCTAGCCACAATAAAAATGGTACATAGTGAGATTCCCTCCTTTCTGTTAGATTGGAACGAGCGTTAAGTGGGTGTCGCCTGTATTAGGTTATGCACTTGTTTTTGTAATAATAGTTTATTTCCTCCATTCTTCTGCGAGCCGTTTTGTGTGCCGCGGGGTGTCTTAAGTAGAAAAGCCTGCCCTCTCTGTGATATTTTATCGAATTCACAAATAAAAACATGGCGACTCAATCTTCTGTTCATCCCGACAATCAAGCCGGCGGTTTGACTTACGAGCCGTTCGAATCCAGTTACGTACGAATGATCTTAGAAGCGGACGCGATTGCCTGGCAAGACAACGTTCTTGCTAGTATAGCCCACTAGATACTTCTTGCTGGCTATCTAGTGATTCCTGGAACGTTCACCACTCTCCAAAAGTCCGACAAAATCCATGATGGCCTCGCCGAAAATAAAGCCGGGGAGTGGATTTTGAATACTATCCAGAATCCTCCGCTTCTCGCGACGGCATGTGTACTGTTTGTCTCGGGTTTGGCGATCATGGGCTGGCTGTTCTGGGAATTTCGCGGGAATTATATTTAGCTTATTAATCGTATTTTTATATGAGTGTCGCGCATTAATGATATGAGATCTCTCCTAATGCTGTTAGTCCTACGCTTCTTAATGCATTAGCTGGCTTTCTTACTACGATTGTTAGCTTATATACTGCTCATGATGGCGATTGGTCTATCATGGTACTTTTGACTGTGATTACATCTGGCCTGTCAGTTGCCTGCTCTCTCATTCTGCTATACATCTATAAATTTGGCAAACTAGAGAGACTGAAACGGGAACACAATCAGATGTCTCGCAACTACGAACATCCTCTCCATGTCTAAGAATTACCTACTCTTCATACAATGTTATAACGGGGAAATGGTCAGAGATGAAGGATAACGCAGGAATATGAACTAAAAAAAATTCTTTGTTTAAATTGCATTAAGTAATTAGCAAAAAGCATAGGAAAACTGAGAATTCTACATATAGTTTTCCGTTTTGACTGGAAGCGAGAAACCCGAATGTAGAGAACTAGGATCTCCTCCGATTTATCTTCCAATTTCTTATAGCAGAACACCCCAATACGTGGAACGATTTATAAAAGCGTGGGCGGATCGGACAGCCCCTCGTCCAAATCGCTATCATTAAGGCTCTCAGACCGAGTCAAGAGATTGTTGTCTGCATATAACCGAGTGAAGGCTTTGAGGGAGACCTCGTGTCCAGAATAGGACGTAGCCCTAACTCCGAGTACTTATTAGCCGATAAACCTGAAGCGTTAGAGAAGTTAGTAGAAAGAAAGATCCCGGTTAAGGAAGAGCAAAGTCGGACGACACACCTCGATCTTTTTATGAAATTTACCACTGGTATAAAGAGAAAAAGAAACCTTAAATTTCCACCAGCCACTAGGACCACAATTAATGAGGTTTGTACTCGCGTCTTTTCAAATCAATTAGGGCTAATACTGGACAGTATATCGTAGGAGAACTAAAGGTCAAGATTCCTCTCTCAACTAAGCAAATGAATAAAGATAGCGGTGTATCCCTAAATGATTTGACTATCTTGATGACTTAATTATAGTATCGAGACCATTAAGAGGTACGTAGAAGCCCTGCCAATTGGGCCAGAGTTCAGCTAAGTGCCGCAATGCTCTTATATTGCTTTACCTTTGCACGTATAGGGGAGGTTCACGAATCAACCACTCGGAGACACGGAGCCCGGAAGATCGGGGAGGAAAACAAGGATGTTGACTGAGAATCCAGTGTGATGGCTGCCTATTATAAGGTGTGTTTAGATACTTAAAGCTGACCGCATTAGTATTTCGAATTCACTATCGAGACTATAGATGGTATGATAATGCTTATACTCACCTAGGAGCGCGAATTTGTTAAAGGATATTAGCGAAAGACAAAATAGGAGATTCCTAAGCACGTATTCTACGAAGTATACGCCGAGGAAGTACCTATATTTTTAAACCTTTTAACATTCTTTTTACTAATAGCCACTGTAGACAAAACTTTCAGAGATTATAGTTTAGTGAGCGAGATCCTAGATGCTGTCGAAATGCATAAGGAAGTCGGTCCTTCGGAGGATGAGATCCTTGAGGTGATTTATGTCCGGTAAGAAATGAGAGATTTGCCGGTTTTTCGCTAATATCTTAAGCATAATATGGAAAAATTTGGTTGTGGTCCTATGATCTTTGGGAACGCACCTATAAAGCTAGGGCTATGTCCGTTTTGCCTGGGTGCTAAGAGAGAGAAAGCGTCAAAGAGGATGGTTTAATCCGTCCTCTCGCTGCCATAATGGCACTCCCATATTGAAGGTCATTTAAAAGGACTCAAACTTGATTTCGACTATAAGCATCCAGCCTGCTCTACACGGTTTAGAAGCCTGGAGGAGCTTACCTACTATCTCGTTGACACGCATTGTTGGTGCCCTAGGCGGCAATCGCCTAAAATACGAAAGTGGACAGATTAATCTTTAATATACACGACTTTTCTTCACGCTCCACCCTATCTAATTAAATGTTCTTTTGAGTGAGCAATATAAATGTTAGGTGTCAGACCTGTTTGATTCCCAACAATTTAGATGTATTTTGAATGTCGTTGATCTCTACCCCGTAATGATGAACAGATTTGCAGAAGGTTGTTCAAATTGTGAATGCTAATTAGAGTAACGTAGGGCTTAAAAAAGACCCGAAATTCTTTCAAGTTAAACGCATGACCATAAAGATTACGAACGAATGCTTCAAGCAACACCCAGTCGCTCAATCAAATACTGCATCATGAAATTGCTTGCTCCCGATTGTTCTTCGAGCTTGATCAGGGCGCTCTTTGCCTGAGAACTTAGAGAGGCAAGGGTCTTCTTGGTAAATTCAAGGCTCTTGGCCTGACTCATCTTTTCCAGGATGAGCTCCTTAACTTCATTCGACATCTTTCCGTCCTTGGATCTTTCGTGAAGAACATTTTCAATCAGGAGGCGATCAGGTGAATGGGTCAAAAGATGTATCAGGGGGAAAGAAAGCTTCCCCTCATCAAGGTCTTCTGCAAATCCTTTTTCATCTTTGTACTATTACACCGTCAGCTTTTCGATGCGAAAAAAGGACTGCTAGTACACACAGCCTTCGAAGTAAGATTGATGTAATCGTCACGAATTTGGAAATATTGTCCCATAAGAATCAAAAAGTTGTTGAGGTCGTCGATTCCAATTTTTCTGTAATATCAATAGTTAATGATAGTCTCAAGATTCACGGGCAGATATCATATATATAGACATACCTTGGCTCCTTTGCTTGTGTATATATCAAGCGACCCAGCATACAGAATAGTCCGCCGGTTTCTGGTAATTCGGTATCCATAAGCGTGTGCAATAAAGAAACCTTCTCTTTTACTCACTAAATTGGATCATTTTCATGTATTGGGCGATTGAGGGACACTTGTAGCTACGCGCCCAATGGATATCGTAGCTTTGTCCAATGTGAAGGTTGTTCATTTCCTCTGTTTAAAACGTAAGTATATAGTCCATGTTTTGTCAGCTCTGATATACGAGAACGTACCGAGGAAGGCTCGATGAGAATCATTAGTAGGCAACTGTAATAACTCCTCCACAGCTGTGACGTAAAGGTAATTTGCTGAGTTGATAGTTTGAGATGTTCCAAATATGCGATAAGCCGACGGCTTTCCCCGACGAAGAGGGGATTGATCTTCGATATCATCAAGCAATAGCGATGCATGGTGTAAAGATGAGATAGTCTTTTCTATGCGGTCAACCACCCCCTCGGGTATTGTGAACCAGGACGCCAACGCTTCAATAAGTATGCCCCGGACATTCTTGGATGGAAGTCCTTGGATATATTCAATCGGTCCGAGAAGTATCTTTCCACAAATAATAAGATTTAGTTTTGTCTGGAGTTATTGGTGAAGGAGTGACTCACGGCTTTTGTTAATGGCTTTTCAAGAACGATTTGGTCATTCTTAGATATATCGCTATCCAGAATAAGAAGCTGTGGCTTCTTCGAAGCCTCAATCCTCAATGAAGCTAGATTGAGGTAGTCTGAACACTTTGCTTTCGTCTCATCAATGAGATGAAACTCAAGATCAGCAGCATTCACGTCTCCAAAGCGATAGACATTCTCTCTCCAGTTCAGATATCGAGAAGCTGAAACCCCCCAGTACCAGTTCCCTGATACCATGAGCTCGACCAGTTCAACAAAATAGGTCAGATCCGATGGCTGGCTTTCATTTTCCACCAAAAATGTGTTCTTTTTGTTCAAGAATTCTGTTTCGAGTGGGCGCATTTTGTCACGCAGAAGCAGATCCTTGGCCTCACCGGCCGTGACATCAAGCTCAGTCATTAAGCGCCAAACAGCGTTGTTTATATTACCGCCAGTCTGGAGCTCCAGTGAAGCCTCTCTATCAAAGCTGTATATATCATTACTCAGAGCTGTAACAACCATTCCAGGCCAAGTGATATGCTCAACGGCTTTCAAATCAGCCTGGGTCAAATTAAGCTCGCAGGCGTAGATGATAATGGCCAGATAAAGGCTATCAAAAGTAAGGGACTGCTTTTATTTAAGATTGCGTATAACTCACTGGCAGGCGCCATCTTCCCATCTGTATTGGTACCATTCATCCCATGACTGGATTTCATCTGCTCGTCGTGTTCCAATCCATGATCGATATTGGTCGAGTGCTTCAATGATCAACGCTCCTCGCGTGGGATCAATTTTCAGAAGCTCGACAAGCATTTGAGCGTAAAGCTGCTTTTCGGTTGTCTTCAAGTGGTGACTGTCGCTCGTTGCTATAGCTGAGTCCTTAGCTAGAAATGCTTCTGACTCTGGGGATCTTGTCGGAAAAGACTAGGAAGGTAAGTAAGTTGACCATAAGCTCAGAATGAAATTACATACTTTCTCCAATTTTCTGCTTGAAAAAACGTCTAAAGGACATTTTTTTAGCCATAGAACAGTCAAATGGACATGTCAGGAAAAGCGGAAGAACATACCGTCCACAACAAAGAGAAACTCGGTCAGTTTTGTTAAGATAGGCAATCTCTCAGGTTTGCACTCGGGTAGCCCGAAAGTCATGATTGAACCATTGGAAGATAAGCAACCTCCTTCGAATTTTCCACCTATGTCTTCCCATTGCTTAAGGAATTCTTCTGTGGCTTTGGTTGCGATGAAGTCGTATCTGCCTTTACGCACAGCAAGGTGGGTAGGGCAAGTATGGGCGACCACTTGGGGATCTAGAAGATCAGAGTGTGAAAACTTCATCATCCAATATTAGTGCGCCTTTTCTCCTAGATGTGGTTGAATGAGCTTGATTAAGAGTAACAATAGGTCAGGGCATCTCTTTATACCTTGAAACAAAATTTTTAACCACTCAGATACGTCTTCGTTATCTGGCACCAGGACGAGCAGATGGAAAAGTGACAACTGGAGGTGCATATCTAGACGTTGCCCTTTTGCCATTTTCGGGTATGGAAATTTAGCGCGGACATCAGTTGGCCACAAAAAGAGCTTCCGAGGCACCCGGGTTGAATATCGATTGGCTTACATTTTTGCAGCTGCAAAGCCAAAGGACTTGTGACCAACAAACGACTTGCAGAAACATCCGGCTGTACTTCAATACCAAGACCGGGGACAGAAAAGCAAAATGAGTTATATGGCCTTCGTGAAGTATGTCCACTACTGCCTGGACTTGCAGATATCGATTGCAGATACTTTAGCAAACAGAGCTACAAGCTACATTGCAACAGTCTAGTGGATTAAACAAATTGAGACAGCGTCTAAAGCGGATGTGAGAACAAAGAACCCCCATCAGATCGTCACACTTTGAGCTATACCTTGAGTCTAATTATTAGATCTCAACATTAGCCCTTTGAATAAGGCATTCAGCTTATCCGTGGAGACATAAAAAGAATTACTCAAATCACACAGAAAATGGGAACTAAGATGACGGAAAAGATACTTCTTTCACTAACGGCACCTCCAGATGTGTCTTCTCTTAGTAGATAGTAAGCAATCTTGGTAGTATCTAAACCTTGCTCTATACTACGGTATGATAAGTTTGACGATTGATATCTTTCTTGAGGTGAGGACCGGCTGTATAAGCAGCGGCCACTTTGCCGTAAACGTGGCCGATGATTGAACAGATTTTCATTACTTCGCCCTTTGCCTTGAAGGAACGCATAGAATGTAGTAGAGGAGAGACATTTGTGGTGGGAAATGATAGAAAAAGCAAAGAGACATTGCATCTGCAGATGTACCTGGGTGTTGATTGTATCAGATGCAGTGCATACGTACTCTCGTTTCCAAAAGAAATATCGCTAGCTCTATGCAGCTGCATGTAAGATGTGACATTCCAGCTTGGCCCCAAAATTTCATTTTCGCTCTTGATATTGTGCAGTAATTGTATGGTGTTTCCGCTCCGCGAGCTTTTATTAAGACCGTAGAATATTCCACATCCACTCTGCATTGTCGTGCAAAAGATATGCTGTCTATACTTGTAAGAAGTTCTTGCTGAATTTATGGTCATATAAAGGCCTAGTCCTAGCTAATTTCGTCTCCAATCTTACTAGATTTGCTTCATCCCCGTTGCGGTGCTCATCGCCGTCTACCGTTGCTATTTTCAGCGACTTTCCCAAATTCCGGGACCTAAGCTCGTCGCTCTCCAACCGGTATGCTCAAAAATTCACCCGGAACCGAATTGCCGACTTTCTGATCAGGCATACTTAGCTATGGGTAATCTGGAAACTGTGGACGGGGCGTATGTCTCAGAGTACCGAAGAGCTTCACAAGAAGCATGGTAAGTCCAATTTACACCAGTAATATTTTAGTACTAATCTTTGAAGGTTCCATTGTACGGTTAGGACCTAGCGAAATATCCTTTGCAACAATCAGTGCCTTCAACACGATTTACGGACCTCTTTCTGATAGGAACACAACCAAGTCAGGCTCACTCCAAGGCTTGTTCATATCTCTAGTGACGGAAATTACCCAACCAATGATATCACAATTCAATAAGCAAAATCATAAAGAGGCTAGGACAGACCTTCGTCCTATCTTCGACGAAATGGTCAGAGGTCCTCAGGAGAGCGTTCACAATGAAATCTTCAACAAGCACCCTATCCATTTACCTAGCTTGACCGGCGAGGAAGTGTCATTCAATCTCAGTTTCTACTTAGATGCATTACTTTGGGACCTCGCCGGAGGCGTTGTACTTGGGCATGAGCTACCAGAAAGGGCCAAAGGTATCCATGTCTCCGGGTCTAGTTCGTAAAAAGGAATCAAGACTAATGTGAGAACAGTTCAACTTGACAAAATGAAAGTAATAATGCCACTCGGGTCAATTGTCATTGAATGTTGCTCTTATATTCTGGGAAGATCTTTGTTTCAAAAGATTGTACGTGCTATTGCCGGTGTCGCTGAATGGTCAGGTATGAAAGGAATAACCCTTCTACAAGCCTCGCACTTTATCGATGCCACAAAGGATAATGCCTGGGAACCAGAGAGCGCCCTTTCCAACTTCAAGGACCGTCTTACTTCTGGAACGATAACCGAGTTGCGTTTGACACCTTCCGAGGTAAAAGCAAACATTGTCATGTTAGCGTAAGTGCCCCTTCATGAGCACTTTTACATCAGCTACATGAAGTACAAATGGTCCGGAGGCACTAATCTAGTCATAGTGGCGCGGGATACGAAACATCAAAAACTACAGTCAATAACGCCTTTTATTTCCTACTTCGAGATTCCGCTGCCTTCAGAGCAGTCCGGGAAGAGCTCAAATCCAACTTCCAAACACGAGGCGAAATTTCGGATCACAAGCTTATCTCGCTTCCATACCTGAACGCATGCATCAATGAAAGCTTAAGAATGATGCCGCCTGTCAATGGTAAAGTAATGCAGCGAGTCTCTTGTGGTACGACAATCGATGGTGTCTATGTGCCAAAAGGCGTAGGTCATAACCTAGGAATGATATCCTATTCGACTAAGCACTAACTCTATCTAGGTTGCGGTCTCCGCTGATAATTTTTCAATGCACCGATCGCCCCTCTACTGGGAGAATCCCGAGTCATTTCGACCAGAGAGGTGGATTAACAAACAATCAACCGACAACTTCCGTGCTTTCCGTGCCTTCTCCTCTGGACCGCGGGCATGTCCCGGCCGTCTGATGGCCCTTCAAACTGCTCGTCTCACCCTAGCCAAAATTATCTGGCTCTACGATCTGGAGATGATAAACGATCCGATAGAGTGGGAACAAACTGTCAAGTCCGGATTTGTATGGACACTACCGGATTTATACGTTCGTGTCACTAGCTCCGGTTTAATATAAGCAATGGTCGTGTTAGATGTAGTTGCGGGCAACCTCTTCAGAACTGGAGAGGCGGGATTTGGGTTTTGATCGAACATGTAGCTGACATTGTTTGATTAACATGACGTATAGGTATGAGAATGGTGCTATCTGCTTTAGTTGAACTGTGCATACAACACCATAGTTGACCCTACTGTACGAAGTATGTTCGGGAATATTCCCAATCAGGACTATAGGTTTGCCGAAATGGTTTGGTAAACGATCCAATAATGTAGGTGGTGACACCGATTTCCGAAAGTACTGTAATGAGAATCGCTGCTAAGAGACTGAGATTAAGAAGAGAGGGAAGTGACAAGAATTTGGGGAGCAAGGAAATCCGACAAGCGGGACATTTTGGTGATTGAATAGCCGTAGCCAGACGTAATAGACGTCCACAGCTAGAGCAAAGTCGATTAGACAGCATTCCGTGGGCACTGCGACAGAGTAAGGTATATTGCTCGGGTGGCTGAGCGGGGGAGTGCGGGCCACATCTGCATAAGACGGAGAACCCGTGAGAGTGGGAGCGCTGATTTCCTCGCGTAAGGATTGAATTTCGCGGAGGATCTCGTCGTAGCCGCTCGGAGCGCATGCTTCGGAGTGGCATTGCGATGTCGAGGATCTATCTGTCAGGTTCTGTAGCTCGTCTCGGACCTCGGCGAGGGCAGCACCAAACTCTGCTTTAGCCTTGTGTAATTCTTCCTTGTGTAGCTCGTCTCGTAGTCTAATTTCTTTCCTGAGTTTGGCAATCTCTTGGACCAAATTGCTGACATCGGGGTCGTCGCTCTCGATCGCGGAGTCGTCCGAAGTTGCCACGTCAGGCTGGGCTTCGGGTTCGATTCTCTTCTTTTGCGAGGGTCGCGTCGTCCTCTGCTCGTTGTCGATCTCCTGTTCTCGGGCGTAGATTTTCGGTGGTCTGGTGGTGCGCTTCGGTCTCGACAGTCGCGGTGGAGAGCCTTCGCGTTCGCCGCGGTCGGGCGGTTCAGGGGTTCGCATCGCGGCCCGTCCCGTCATCACTCACAGTGCAAGAAAACTCCAATACCGCTGTATAGTCCGCTTATACCTACCCAATACGCTTACAGTCTAGGAGTGGTCACCGTCATATATGGGTACAGTATTTCCCTGAAAACTGTCCGAAACTCTCGCGCAGGTTACCTGAATTGAGTATAGTACGTCCCGAAACTGGTGCGACCACTTCCACTCTTCCACTGATTCTCTAGCCCTAATGCCAAGATGCACTAGTCTATATTTGGAGTTTTCGGGAGTATCCCCGTCAGCTGAACGTGTATTATTTCTAACCGAGATCAAATTGTACATTAAAGGACCAATTGGGGCATAAGGAAGCCATGCATGAGAATACTGCAGAATCGTGACTTGTTTGACGCATGCAGTACTGTAACTAGTTGATGGGGGTTCATGCATATCTGGGCCAATAGCATAATGTGGGGTGAATGCCTTACATGTTACACAGCAACGAGCGCCGAACGTACGAAGTATGATTAACGCACGTTCCTTGTCTAAGAAAAGGCGACGCTTTAGATCAAGTTGATACCGTGTCATTGAACGATTGTTATCTGAAATCAAGAGATAGTGATAGGTTTCCACGGGGGGCCTAAAGGCGACTAAAAGAAAGGTTGAAATGCCCGTAGCCCTAGAGAATACGTTGTCGTGCTATTGAACACGTTCGCACTATCGTTATGCTTACCTCCGTCTGATTACGAGGTGATACGATATTTTACACTATATATGCCTATAGGAAGCCCGAATCCTAAACACTGACCTTATTGATCTTCTCTTGTCGAATGAGACTGTAGCATTAGCGAGTAGCCTAGATATAGTAGATGCAATATAGGCTAGCACATTAAGTATTTGAGTTAGCGATTATAATTTCATGGTCAGGCGTCAATTGCCTTCGGATCGCTCGGCTAAATTCACTGAGACCTGACTAGACTTGCCTTGTGATGAAGCCTAGTTTAGACTGCTTGCTGCTGTAATGGATCTCGTGGCCCTTGCTGCGTCCTATTAACGAGCATTCCCGTCTATGGAGGAACGTCAAGAATGAATTATGGGACTGCATCCTAGGCTGAATTTGAATGCAGCTGACCCTATGTAGATTGGATTAATCATGCGGGTTTGAATCTGCAGAAATCCTAATACGTTAGTAATTGATATGCTGGTATTTTCTAGCAAAGGTGCCTTAATAAATAAGAAATTGATCGCTCTCCTGAGCTCATATCCTGCGGTGTAACTCATTCACTATTCATTCTTCTAGCAACACAATATATCGCACTAGGATGGCGTCTCTATATTCCGCGTTTGTTCTTTTCCTAATGGGCCTTGGGTCAGTCCAGGGTCTTCTCATTCCTCATTGTACCGGTAATAGCTTAGCCTGTGTTGCCAATATCTTAATTGGAATCAACCCACCATTCATCAGCCGCCTGGCCGACTGCTCTAGCTACCAAAAGGTGGTAGTGACACCTAGTCCAACGTGAGTAGGCACATTATTATCCAGCTCCTATAGCAAAACATCTCTCTGAAAAGCCTAGAACCGTGTCCACTACTGTGGCAACTACTACGATAACCGTGACCACCACCCTAGGAGCTGTCATGCGCAGGGCTGAAGTCAATGCACTCCAGGCGACCTCGACCCCGACGAGCGTGCCCACTTACCTAGGCCCTCAATGCACCCAACCGGGCATCTATGGCTCTGCATGTGCCTGTCTGGGCATCCCACGCACTACCTCTACTGCACCAACCCCAACCGTTACTACCTCCGTCACAGCTACAACCACCACCACCGTGACCGTAACCCCTGTCCCTACTAGCTGCGTCGGCCAGACTTGCGGTAGCTACACGTTCAGTCCTTGCCCTGAGGGCACGTGCGCCTGCGGCCTTGACCCGGACAATAACTCCTTCTGCTTCGTGGGCGGCGCATGTATCCTGGCTTGTACGACGAATTCGGATTGTGCTGCTGGATCCAAGTGTCTGGTCGGTAGCTGTTGTGGTACCCCTATCTGCCAAGTCGAATCCTCAAGCACCTGCTCTAATGTGGCCCTTCAACTGCAGGGTGCCGCGGCAGTGGCAGCAGATGCGACCAGCTGCACTAGTGTCTCGTGCCCGAATCAGGATGAGCTTGATTAGGGGCAGCTTATCCATCGGGAAGATCTGTTTTCTCTTCGGGACCTGGAGAGGAAATATGCATAGGTGATTGTTTTTCTGAATGAGACCGTTTTTGAGTCTCTCCGAACTGTTAAATAGTGAAGTTATAATTGGCTTTATCGTTATGTTGCACAATCGATTTTGTTTCGAGTGGAAACTTTACAATCCTTTCAGATATGTCTGAATTTGATTGATTGAACGGAATGCCGTATATAATAACGCCATCAGAATCGGTGAAGCCTTTTCCTCCACCCTTAGAGGATTATGTTGAATTTGGCGAGGCTACCTTCGACGAAGACAGCCTGTTGAAAATAGAAGACATTATCTCCGTGTACGTCGGTTTGGTAACCATTGAAGAGCAAAATTACGTGATCCGGCTATATCATTACATAACGTAAGAGTACTTTAGATGAAGATTTTGCCCTAGGGCCTATGCCCAACTTACATCTATGTGTATTTCATACTTCTCCTCTGACAAATTTCATAGTGAGGTTACTATCTCACCCAGCAATAAAAGACATTCTGAGCGATTTTGGCTTTATAGGTACTCGGCCAAGAACGGGTCTACCATACACGAAATGCGTGCTAAGTAGTGAGGGAATGATCCAAAAATTCGCTATAGAGCTATGCTGTCATCTTTGTACCACGAATACTATAGATGGATTAAGCTTGGAAGGATCTTAAGAGAACTTACAGCGATGAGATCTTAGAGCTAGAAACCAGATCTTCGAGGGGTATCGAGGTGATTACTCTATGTAAGAAACAACATCTTGGCAACTAGGGTTAAGGAAAGAAGGAAAGAGTACAAGTGGTGACACTGGTTTCGGGAAGTACTGTAGTGGAGGGTGATAAACACTTATCTTCTACAATGCCACCGGAATTTGGGTTTAAGCTCCGTAAACTTGTATCTTCAAGCCTGAGTGTCGAAAGTGACCTCTAGCGCTCTCTTTCTTCGCACCAACCGTGTCAATACACCATGCGAGGAATACATCAAAGCCTTGATCGGGATCCATCTCATAGTAACTCCAGGTACGTTTGATGAAGCTTTTCAGCTCCGCAAAAAACTCCTCGATTGGATTCAAGTCTGGTGAGTAAGGCGGCAGATAGATCAATTTCACCCCGGCATCCGCGCACATCTGCGAAATCCGTTCCGAATGATGGAACGATGCATTATCCATGACCACAACAGATTTAGGTTCGGGCCATCGTCCACAGTGCTGAAGAAGCTGAGATAAAAAGTCTTCGAAAACAGCGCCATCGGTTGCACCGCGGAATACACGCGAGAGGATGATCCCATCCTGGGTATAAGCAGGTAGTATCTGATATCGCTGGTCACGATGAAACTGTGATACTTGCAAGGGGGCCACTCCAAGTGGTGACCAGCCTGTACGCCTGAATCCTGCCCTCTTGTCACAACCAGATTCATCAACATAAACTAGATGATATGACTGAAAATCTGATAAATTATGGAGATAAAGCTCCCGCAAATCGGCATTTCGCTCTCTAGCATGCTGTCGGGCTGTCTTTTTAGACCAACCGTTAGCGACAAGGGCTCTTCTGATGCTAGAGGTTGTGATCATAGTGCGAAACTCATCCCAGAGGAAGACAGCCATCTCATCAAGGTATAGGCCCGGTTTTTCCGACAGGTGGTCGCAGAGCGCATCGATCATTAGCGGTGATACGGTTGGTTTTCGGCCAATGCGAGTTGGGAGTGCGTGGACGCTGCCGAACTGCCGCAGGTTTTTGCGCACATTTACGATCGTAACCTTGCTGCACTCAGCTTCTTCAGCCATTTGAGTAGTGGTTAGTGACTGGCTCTCTATCATATCACGGATGAGATGTAGCTTTGAGGGAGGCAGTCTCGGTGCCATAATACAAGCCTAAAGTTCGATGACCCTCAGGAGTCATGCAAAGAGGAAGAAGGTTGTTGCTAGGGAGAGAAGAGGGGGTAGTGTGGTATTTTGTGTATTGCAGTTTCGTGTAAATTACACAGAGCAAGGTCCCACCCGCGTCATGTAAAATACAGCTTCTATTCTAGGAACCAGGGGATCGACGGATATACCATATCTAGATTAGCGCGTTCTAACTTAGGGTTCGGGAATCAAAGTCAAAGAGTGTGGAGGTAAATCTGATTTCGAATATTACTGTACATACTGAAGGAGGCATTATGATAATTTCTATCCGGTGAAGCATTGTTAGTTTCCTTAGGGCGTAAGTGGATGACGAAGTCGGATTTCGCTACCTTTCCAGTGTCGCAGATGACATCCGAAGCCGTAGTGGGGATATTCATTGTCAGGCTGTGACGGGGCCGTGGCAAAGTTCAACACTAGCGGCTACGAAAGCAGCGCCGCGGACGTGAAAGCAGAGTCGCGGACGTGAAAGCAGAGTCGCGGACGTGAAAGCAGGGTCGCGGACGTGAAAGCAGGGTCGCGGACACGAAAGCAGAGTTGCGGACGCCAAGCATTTTATTTTCGCCGTCGGGCGTTCCACCCACCCCCTTTTCGCTCCGCAAAACTAAGATAGACACTAGCTATTACTAACAGGGTTGCGGAGAACTGAGTATGCACCCGGGCCACATCTTCTAGTGCTAATAGGTAACATACGCTTTTTTTGATCATCGCTGGCCGCCAAGAGAGAAATCGAGTAGAGAAGATAATGAAGGGGTATAGATACGCCTGGTTTGCGCCAAAGTAAAGAAGAAAGTTTCTGCTTTTTCGCCCAAATGACTTCATTTGCCGTCACTCATTTTCCGACTACACCGGAGGCAATATACGGGGTAGTTCTCGGTCTTACGGCTTCCTCATTCCTGTTGTACCGTCTTACTTTATACATATGCTCATTTTTATCAACCTCACCTTTCTTATCTTCTCGAGTTCGACCGTTTCTATTACGTCATATGATTTATGCCAGGTCTTATTGGCGATTCCTCGAATTTGGAGGTACATCAAGGATGCATCTAATCTTAACAGTTGTTTATTATACCGGCACTGGCATCTGTAATGTTGTGCGGGTTCATTCTATCCAAGATGCTGGTAATCGGGCAGCGAAGCTCTCACTCATTAACTTATTCCTAATGTTTTTGGGTGGTGGTTACGAATTCACAGCTCGTCTCCTTAGAGTATCCCTCTATTCTTACGGATTTTTATATCGATCATTTGCGTTAGTAGCTTTCTTCGAGGCTCTGGCTTATGTTATAATCGTTGCTCGATCGAGGCTGATCTCTTAGGGAAACGAGATACAATTCTACGGTCTGCTAGTAAGCTTTGTCGCCTTTCCCAAACTGTGTTTGAATACTGAAATCTGGTAAAGGCCGCCTGTTTGTTCTTAGCTTTGATAATCTTGCCCCTAGCCAAGAAAAGGGTCTACGAGGTATTTCTTCTTACCCATATTACGTGCGCGGTAACGATGATATATGTAATATGGCAGCACACTCAGTTAACTGAAGGGAGCTTGTGGGTATTCCCACTGGTGTATATATGTACGCTAGCTATCACGGGGGTGTTGTAGCTGATTCGCATTATATATCGCAATGTGGTGGTGGGAAGAAGCCATGTCTAAATGAATTTACAACCCTATGTGGGTGATGTCGCTCGAATGACACTATCGTTGCCTAGACTATAGGTAGTGCGCGCCGGTTAACGCATCAACCTAGGTGTTCCTTCCGTAGGACTTTTTTTTTTTTTCAGTCACACCTATTTACTATCACCTAGTGGGAGAGCGATATCAATGGCCGGGCGGTTTCAATCTTAATCCTACTTCGTCCCCGTTCCGGTTTCACGAAGAGACTCTTTGATCGTATTAAGCCAAACAGAGACTTCGGAGGTTAGATTGATGGCCTATTTGGCCCGTCGTCTATTAACTAGAGGTTAAATAGTAAAGTCGGCGACTATAGACATATCTTTATAGTTACTACCGGTATCGGCATCGCAGCTTAGTTGCCATATATTAAGGAGCTTCTCGATAGCCATGAAAAGGCTTAAATATGCATATAAAGGATCTCACTCGTCTGGTAGTTAGATAGGGTTGGTGATTATGAGAGTGCGCGAGACTTACTATAGGTCCTCGTTAGGCAAGATAATGGATACGTTAGTACACACTTCTATATTAAAGATGCTATTTACTTACGCTAGGCAGATGCTTCACGTATCAATTCATGACCCACTACGTGCTCAGTCGGAGAACGATATTTAACATATCGGTGAGAATGGGCTTATCGATATATATAGCGGACACGTTAATTGGGAACAGTAGCTTGATATAGAGATAAAAGGCCAAATAGGGAAAATGCTTGTAATAGGTAAGTCTTATACTCACAATCTACTACGAAATATCTCACTCATCTCAAAATCAGTTTGTGCGCAGGCCCAAACTCGGCATGATATTAGGAACTTGGTTAGGTCACGCGTAGATAAGAACGTCGAGTTATTCGAACCTGAGTTTCAGCCTTAGGGTCAAACTAGAAGCTTACGCGCCTTCCTTAAGCCGTGAGAGAGAACGAAGCGAATTTCAGGTGTCTAAGACCAGGTCAGTAGAAAATACAGGCATTGTAAAATCACAAGAATGATTTGATAGGACCATGTTATAGATCTAGAAAACAGCATTAAAGATGTCTGCCAAGAGTACCTAGCTTAGCTGGTGGTCAACTCTCCGGGACAGGCCGTTAGTAATAACACAGACAATTTGCATCATATACTGCTCCCTAGTGCGATGTCAGAGAAGAGTCGGATTCAGACACGCAAGATAGTATAGTTTTACAGCCTAGCTTACATATTAGTGTACGTGCTGTAGATAGCGCAGAGTATCTTCGTTGCTTTGCACTAGCATCTTGTGCTACTATAGGGACTCACTAGAGAGTAGGGACTTACTGGAGAGTAGGGACTTACTGGAGAGTAGGGACTTACTGGAGAGTAGGGACTTACTGGAGAGTAGGGACTCACTAGAGAGTAGGGACTCACTGGAGAGTAGGGACTTACTGGAGAGTA